GGCCCAGTGGGGGAATCGAATGCCCAAACGTCGGGCTCTGCAGCCAGAGATCTGAAGGGCTGACAGAAATTGGGGGGAGTGGGTGGGTGGCGTGTCTTCTCTTTTTTTTGGCCACAAAAAGCGGCCAGTTCACCAAGACGAGACGAGAACCCCTCGCCTCCCAACCGGGTCTTCGGCCATCCTTCTGCACAGCTGTCACTTCCTCATCAGGAGGTGCTAATGCTGAGCGATGGCCCCATTATTAAAATTCCGATCGCTCGGTAAATCGCTAGGAAATGCCAGGCACCCCCTGGGAATGGCCGGGCGCTGACTCAGTGATGGATGCTGTCAGAACACTCGTTAGCTTGCTCGTTAGAGCAGCAGATGATCCAGGCGGGACCTGGAAATTTGCACCCTTGTTTTTTTCCCCACCAAAATCCAGCTTCAAGGGGTGAGCACGTCGCCCTTTTCCATCTCCAGTATCATCCTCTCAAGCATCTGTTTACTTGATTGCCTAGGGTGAATAAAATCGGCCTTAGGAGAGCAGGAAGTAGAGCAGCAGATGATCCAGGCGGGACCTGATGAGCTGAAATTTGCACCCTTGTTTTTTTTCCCCACCAAAATCCAGCTTCAAGGGGTGAGCACGTCGCCCTTTTCCATCTCCAGTATCATCCTCTCAAGCATCTGTTTACTTGATTGCCTAGGGTGAATAAAATCGGCCTTAGGAGAGCAGGAAGTGAATCTATTAAAATCTCCTCCCTCCCTCCTATCTCCGTTCATTCGTTCGTTCGTTCGTTCGTTCGTTCGTTCGTTCGTTCCTTCCTTCCTTCCTTCCTTCCTTCCTTCCTTCCTTCCTTCCTTCCTTCCTCAAGCAAGAATGTCTCCACGGGCAGATGGGCTACTGATTCCCCCTCCCCTGGACTAGTAATTTCTTAGCGGAGGGCCTGTTCAGGCCTGCTGGCATTTGAGACTTCTTTCAAGTGACTCCGGGACCCCTTGCTCCTCGCAGCTGCATTTAGATGAGGCTCAATATTCTGATAAATTTGAGGCCTCCTCGCATCGCGCAAAACTCCCGTTTTTGTGCATTCGTTTGGCCTTTAAAGGCTTCTCGTAACCAAAAGCGGTGAATCTATTAAAATCTCCTCCCTCCCTCTCTCCCTCCCTCCCTGATAAATTTGAGGCCTTGTCGGATCAGACAAAGTTCCAGTTTTTGTGCATTCGTTTGGCATTTAAAGGCTTCTCGTAACCAAAAGCCCTAAACGACAGCTTCTTTTGCTGAGGCTGACAGGTTCCCTCGCCAACTGGCCAAGACCCAAAAACCTTTCCAGCTGCTTCTAGGCTTTTCCTTCCCGGAGGTGGGCAGGCGTGAAGGCTGGCGCAGGATGCCGAGGCAGGAGACGGAGAGATTGAGCCGGTTCATTAATTCTGACACAGTCAAACCCAGCTGTTCGTTGCTTCAGCTCACAAACCTGAGGCCAGTGAGGGCTTTTTTTGTGGCCACGGTGGCCCAAAAAGCAGCTGCCCATCCTATCCGAAATTAGTTTAAAAAAAGGGAAAAAATGCATGTGTGCCAAAAAAGAGAGGGAGAAATAATGCTGATGGAAGATTGCTGATCCATAACGTTCGAGAATGGGGTGGGTGGAAAAAGTTTTGGCGCATAACGATTGCTTAGATATTTTTGACAGTGGCGGAGTCAGCTCACAAACCTGAGGCCAGTGAGGGCTTTTTTTGTGGCCACGGTGGCCCAAAAATCAGCTGCCCATCCTATCTGAAATTTGTTAAAAAAAACAGGGGAAAACGCATGTGTGACAAAAAAGGAGAGGGAGAAATAATGCTGATGGAAGATTGCCGATCCATAACGTTCGAGAATGGGGTGGCGCATAACCATTGCCTAGATATTTTTGACAGTGGCGGAGCCTTGTATAAAGAGATGGTGTGTTACAAAATTTATATCCAGTCTTCGGATACGTATCCTGTCCAGGGAGGGTGGAAGAACACGCCACACTTTTCCCCCCCGCTTGCCACCCTCTCCTCGCCATTTGGAAATAAGGCGTTAAGATTAAATTGGGCTGGTTTGCCTTCATCACGACAACCGGACGGAAACTCTGCTACTGTCGTCGTCACCTCTCCCTCTCCCTCTCTCTCTCTTTTTTGTGTGTGCTATACATCCAGGCACGGAGCCACCAGCCGTGGCTTCCAGTCGTGGAAATTATGCCCAACGGAACCGCAAAGCTTCCGAGGCCAGGATGGCACCGAGCGGCAGCGAATACCCGGGCGACGGGAGCGCCGAAAGCCGAGACTACGTGGCTGAGAATGAAGTCCACCAGAGCCCTGGGGGTAAAGAGTCCAAACAGCCCGTTCTCTCTCTGTCTTGAAATCTTGAAATCATCGGTGCTTGCAGGAGGGTGCCGACCTGATCAGAAGGGATAGGTCACAAGAGAGAAGAAGCAAGCAAGGAAGGAATGGAAAGTCTCCCACGAGCCTGAAATACAATGGAGGAATACCTGTTCTGATATTCTCCTCCTCTTTACAGCGATGGGTTTACCGAGACACTCCGGGGCAAATAAGCCGCAAAATTATCCGTTCTCAGAGAAAGGGAGACAGGAAGGGATGCTGCAGGCTGTTCTTGGTGGGAGCTTAGAAAGCGAGGTCTGGAGTTGCTTCCAGAGCATTCGTCTTCCTTAGGAATATAGAACTACAGGATTGTGGAGTTGGAAGGGGCCCTTGAAGGCCATCTAGTCCAACCCCCCCACTGCTCAAGGCAGGAATCCAGATCCAAGCAGATCGGACAGAGGGTGGCCCCGTTTTCTCCGGCGTTGGAGCCCCTCGCCCCGAGCATCCTGTAGTTTCTCTTTAAAGTCCTGCCTGCATGGAAAGAATCTTGCACATTTTTTTTTACAAAGTGACTTTCTCTTTTAGAGGAGTCCACCAGGGTTTCCGCAAGAGACCTGCTGTAGGTGCCTTCTGGAGGTGTGCAGATTTATATATTTTTTAATATGAAAAACATTAAAATCTGCCTGGAGACCTGGAGGCCAAAAGGCCAAATCGGCACGCCTCTGAGGTCCTTGTGTTTCAGATGGGCAGAGCGAATTCAAACCGAGCCGAATGAAGCCATATCTCTCAGAGAGTATTTCTCCTTTCCTGTTTTCTCTGCCTCTTTGCTACTTCCTCGTTTCCAGCAGATAAAGTTAGATTTTGAGTCCTTGCACCCTAAACCGGCTTGACCTCCTTGTGTTTTGAACCTGCAGGTTCGAAAACGGAGGTTTTCCTTTTGCAGAAATTAAATTCTGTAGGAATTAAACAGTCGCTGCTTCGCCTCCGCCCAAATGAGCCACTGAAGGGAGCGGTTTGGCATAGATCGTTCGGCACGCGTGAAAGAAAACCCCTCTCGAGCCCGACCTCTCTTTTGCTCTTTTCAGGTATCAGGCGCGCCGAATCCGTCCAAGCGGCAGGTGCGAGGCCCTCTCCTCCAGCTTCTGCCCAGTCGAGGCAGCCGGTCGAACAAGGTACACAGAGCTTCCTTGAACCGTGGCACCGAGGACGATTCGAAACGTTTCTCTACCGACCATTTCGGAAGAACGCCCAAACATCCCTTCTCTTGCTGCATTGATCTGAATCTCTCTGCCGGAGGGAGGGAGGGGGCCTCTGAAACAGCCATGTGCCTGAAGGGGCTTTTCCTCACCTCCTGTAGCTCGCAAACCTAGCATGCCTTCTTTGTGATTGGCCTACAGGAGGTAAACACGGGCTCCGTTGGCAAGCCTGATTGGCTGAGTCCCGATGGCTGGAAGCACTCTCATGGGACACCAGCCTCTAACAACAACCACAACCACAATGTATAGTTTAACCCTTGAGAGCTTTCAAGAACATTGAGAGTGGGGGAAATATGTTAGTTCTTCTCTAGGTGTGCGGTCTCATTTTAAATTTTCCCGGAATGCCCAAAGGCAATGTTTTTTTTTGTGACCGCCTCTTCCAAACTCACACTTTCCAAAACGATCGGGCTACAAGCCCCATCATCCCCAAATAACAAGGCTAAGGATGCTGGGCGTTCCACTCTGATACATTTGAAGGGGAACGCAACTGGGGGAAGCTGGTGTGCATGGACTTTTTTTGCTCTTGAAGCCTGAAATATGAAGAGAGAGAAATATAAGTTCTTTACAGACGGTTGATCAAAGAAAGTTTTTTCTCCTGGACTTGCAGGTCCTCCCGGAGGGATGAGACAAGGCCCCGCTGGCCGCTACCCAGAAAGACAAGGTAAGGCCTTGTTTCATGTCAGAGCTGACCCAACATATTTTGCTGCCTGAAGCAGGGAATGTTTCCGTCGACATCTGTACGCTTTCTACTAAAGTCGACCAAATTATTTCACCACCCGAGGCAGAAATCTCAGAAACATCTTGTGTATGGTCCTACTCTTTTCCTGCTGCCTTCCACTTTTCCCAGCATTATTGTCCCCCCCCCCCCCCCCCCGAGAGTCTTACCTTCTCAGGATGTGCCCGAAGTAGGTCAGCCTTCGTTTTAACATGTTGGCCTCCGGAGGGAATTCAGGCTTAATTTAAGCTAGGACCTACTTGTTTGTCTTTCTGGCAGTCAAGGATACCCGGAAAGCTCTCCTCCAACACCAGATGATAAAGTAATAGGACCTACTTGTTCGTCTTTCTGGCAGTCAAGGATACCGCAAAGCTCTCCTCCAGCGCCAGATGATAAAGTAATTGTCTCCCCACCCCACGTGTCATGGAAAACAGACAATTTGAAAACCACCCAAAGGTTTTTAATCGACTGGTCATCGCCCAGAGAAGCCTGGCTACTCCGCGAGTGTTTGTCGGTAAAGAGAGAATAACTTCCCCCCCCCCTTCTCTGCTCCTGCAGGAAGCCTTTCGGCAGCGTCTCCTCCAGCCGACGTGGGCTATTCCGCTTCTGGAGCGCCCAGGGATGAGCGGCCCGTACGCCAGGTGGCACCGTATAGCCAAGCTGCCGCCCCACCGGTGGCACCCACACCGTCGAGGCAGGCTCCTCAAGAAGATGACGACGACGAAGCCAACAGCTATGACTCGGACGAAGCAAGTAAGTCCTTGCTCCCGCCCGAGTCGATTGGGCCGGTGGCTCGGTGCCGTTTCGCCACCCCCTTGGGTCTTCCCGGGACAAAGTTCAACCAGAGTTTTGGACACTGATTTCGTTGGGCTGCAAGCTGGAGAGTCTCAGAACTATCGTGGCTCGGCTGAGGATTCAGGGTTTTGTAGTCCAAATAAGTAACTTCCCCAAGCTCAGGACCTGACTGTGTATTGATAGGTAGATGCTGAGTCTGCCCCTTGAAAGCTGCCCCATATTGCACTAGTAGGCTTTCCCAGACCGTCTTCAAGGGTCGCCCCACGTCTAGCACGTGGCAGTAGTCAAGACAAGATTGAATTCAGGTGTATATGATTGTTGGCAAGTTTCAGGTGTGGTATCTTGAGCTTAGCCATGGAAAGGTGGAATATAAATCTATCAAAGGAGCAAACATATTCTTTTCCTTGAAGACATTGTGTGTTGGGAGCTACAACATGTAGCTATGTACATTTATTTCTTATTTATTTCTTACAGTTATGCCCTCCTTTCCTCCAAAAGGACAGAGCGTATTACTTGCTCAAAGTCGCCCCGTCAGCTTCATGACTTCTTAGGGACTAGAACCTTGGCCTCCCAATGCCTTTTCCTGACACTCTGACCACTAGAGCAAGCTGCCTTGCGCATCGCTGGAGCCCAGCTCTCTGACCCCTAGTGGTTCCCTCCAATCTCTCTGCCTTCCAAGAGTTCCCCAAGCTGCCACTGAGTTTCCAAGTTCATTTCTTGAGGACTAGCAACATATAGTCCTGGACTTAAAAGATTCCAGGCAGACGCTGCCTGCGTTGAAGGCCAGATGCTGGGCTTGTTTTCCTTTAGTGATGCAGGGCAGGATCAAAACCCAGCGCAAAGCCCTTCTCTCCTCCCTTCTCTTGGCGAGTTCTTGTATTTTTAATGATTCGATTAGGGTCTTGAAAGTGCGTTAGAATTCCTGCCTGGCCCCCAGGAACGCTGTCCTTTTCTAAGGCTACGACAGCTGGGATCCGTTGAGCCCGCCCCCCCCCCGATGTCTTCCCAGGGAACTCGCTAAGTGCTTTTAATGGCTGGTAAATAAATAATTGGCAAATAAATGATGGAGTGAAGCCATTCCTCTCCCCCTTCCTCTTCCCAGAAAGAAAGAAAGAAAGAAAAAACAGACTCCATGTTAGAGGGACTGAATTATTCATCCACGGAATAAGGAAAAGCCTAGGGGTGTCTTTGTATAGCTAGACTTTTGCAGCCTCGGCGTGGATGCCCACGTTTTGCCAGTGGTCTTTGGACACCTCAAGCTGCTCCTGTTCCTTAAGATTTCCCAATCTGGCCACAGTGACATGCCGTAGGGACATCCCTGCTGGACTGCAGCAATGCGCTCTACATGGGGCTGCCCTTGAAGAGTGTTCAGGGTTTTCCAAATGCTGCAGCCGGAGTGCTTGCCTGGTGCTGGCTACAGGGAGCATGTAAACCCTCTTATTTAAACAGCTTCAGAAGGTCTCCGGGACTCATCCTGCCCAGGGATCAGGATGGGATGGTGAGAGGTGTGTTTTGAAAGATCTGAAAGCCAACGGTTGGGGGACCGGGTCAGGGACCTGTCTTTCTCAACCTGATCTTCCCCTTTTCTGAAGAGCTGGCCTACAATTCCCATCGCCCACAGTAAACAGGGCTTAAATGAACTAACCGGTAAACCCGCCCTTTCCCCTCTCTTGCCAGCCACCCTTGGTGCTTTGGAGTTCAGCCTGCTATACAACCAGGATAACAGCTCCCTGCACTGCACCCTCATCAAGGCAAAGGTAACCCTTGATCCATCGGGTCAACCCATTTTCTCGCAACACGGGGCAATAGGGAGTCAAAGTGTCTCCCAGCTGTCGTGGGGTTGTGAAACCTCCAGCGGAAGCCGGTGACTCTGGTTTTCCCCCAGAGGCAGTGGTGGGTTTATATCTGAATCTTCCAAGAGTCAAAGCAGGACCCAACCTGAATTTGGAACTCTGCTTCAGCACCATGGAGAGCTCCTCTGAGGTTTAGAGACTGAAACCCGGAGCGACTTTCCTCTCCTTGACAAGCAAATGAAGCAGGGCTCTTGTTGTTCCCATCCAGGGGCTGAAGCCGATGGACTCCAATGGGCTGGCCGATCCTTACGTGAAACTCCATCTGTTGCCAGGCGCCAGCAAGGTACGATGTGGCCAGCCAGCCCTTCCTCTTTCCGTGATAGATAGAAAGGCCGGCTTCTCCATGAGAAAAACAGAATTGGGGTGTTGAACGGAATTCCCTCTCTGTCTGTGTCCCTCCTTCCCTCCCTTATCTTTCTTTCTTTCTTTCTTTCCTTCCTTCCTTCCTTCCTTCGCCCTCCAATCCATCATTGGCTCCTTCCTTCCTTCCTTCCTTCGCCCTCCAATCCATCATTGGCTCCTTCCTTCCTTCCTTCCTTCGCCCTCCAATCCATCATTGGCTCCTTCCTTCCTTCCTTCCTTCGCCCTCCAATCCATCATTGGCTCCTTCCTTCCTTCCTTCCTTCGCCCTCCAATCCATCATTGGCTCCTTCCTTCCTTCCTTCCTTCGCCCTCCAATCCATCATTGGCTCCTTCCTTCCTTCCTTCCTTCCTACCTACCTACCTACCTACCTACCTCCAATCCATCATTGGCTCCTTCCTTCTTTCCTTTCTGCCTACCTGCCTGCTTTACCTGACTATACCTGCTTATTGTGAGCGGCTATAGCCCTGATGGTGGAACCAGGTCCTGAGAATTCGAATCCACCCCCCCCCGCCAGGAGAGAGGCCATTCAAGATCCCCTGGAACAGTGTATGGGTGGCTGATGGGTTGGATGTCCTCCCCCTTCCTGGGAGTTCGATTCCCTCACTGGGCCTCTTTGACGGGGGGCTGGGCTTGATGATCTAGAGGGTCCCTTCCAGCCTCTGCCATTCTCAGGTGGTAACAATGATGATAACTTGACTTAATCCCATTTCATTCTATATTAATCAACTCGGAACACCCACCAAGGAGACCTGATTCCCTATGCTAACCAGCCCGGGATATCTCCCGTTAATGAGAAGTTCAAATTAAACACAGGGTCTTCCTTTCCTTTTTTCCCCCCTGTGCTTAAAATAAGCTTTTTTGGGGGGTTGGAGTGTTCTCCGTGTGTTTTGCAAGCTTGGTCTAAAAGGCAGAGCCCGCTCTCCTGGGGATTCAGGGGACGGGATTAGAAAACAGGCTAACAAGCAAAGCCGGACGCTCTGAGAAGGTGACGTTCTTAATGGGAGGTGAAGCCAGAGTGTCAGCCAATCTAATTATTACCGGGGGTTTAAAAGATCACTTTGCTTTGAAGGTTTTAGCTGGGTCTAATTGGTACCGTGGCATCAAAAAGGCCGTTCCTCTTGAGAGTGACTCAACCTTTCCGATAGATTTTTTCTGCCTCCCTGCCGTCTCCACGACCGGCTCCATCAAGTCACGCTCGGCAGGACCAGGGAAATTAAATGCTCAGCTATACATGCCTCAGGAAGACTGGGCTTTATTACCCCCAGGGCCTGGCTGGGAGGGCATTTCTCTTCAAGTCCAGGATTTTACCCCCTTTGGCTTCTCTGAGGTTCTTTTGGAAACCTCTGTTTGGAAAAGGCAAGGATCGAAACCTGAGGCCCGATCAAAAGAAAAGAAAAAAATCTCCACACACACTTTCCATTGAGATTCAGGCCGCCTCGTTTGGGTGGTCCATAGAACTGGGTGCAGGTTGGGTGTCAGATGGAGCTTATGTATGGGAGCGTTTCCTCCCCTTCTTTGTAACATGATCTGTCAGTTTTCATTGTTCTGGGTGGGGTTTGGTGTGCGCGTGTGTCTTGACAGTCCAACAAATTGAGGACCAAGACCTTGAGAAACACTCGGAATCCCATGTGGAACGAGACGCTCGTCTACCACGGCATTACCGACGAAGACATGCAGAGAAAGACGCTCAGGTGAGCTTGGATCCGAGAAGTGGGTTTCACGGACGAGCGAGATAAAGATTCAGGCTTTGCAGTGGGTGGCTCTATCTGTTTATTGAACTCTTGAGAGACAAGGACAGTCGCTCCTGATAATGCTGCCACTTGGGATGGATGGGAAAGCGGCCTCCTTGACCCCGGGGTGGTCACCTCCAAGATGGCAGGACTGTTGCCACCAATTTGGAAATCAATTTGGGTGGCATGGCTAAGGCTGAACCTCAGTCAGGACTGTTGCCACCAATTTGGAAATCAATTTGGGTGGTGTGGCTAAGGCTGAACCTCATTTGTCCATCCATCTATCCATCCATTGAATAACCCACGCCACCAATTTGGAAATCAATTTGGGTGGTGTGGCTAAGGCTGAACCTCATTTGTCCATCCATCTATCCATCCATTGAATAACCCACCCACCCTTCCATCCATCCATCCATCCATCCATCCATCCATCCATCCATCCATCCATCCATCCATCCATCCATCCAT